CTTGACCTGTTTGTGTCTCCTGGCTTTTGGTGGGGGCCCCGACCCATTTTTTCAGAAGCCTTCTGAAATCAGAGGGCAGCTATCTGTTTTCAGTTTGGGGACCTGAAATATCTGTTTTCTATCAGACCATTATTGGGAGGGGGGTCTCCCCTTCCCGGCGTGTACTTTAAGGAGGTTTCTTTCCTGCTGTTTCTCTAAAACAGGCACACAGCTGCAGACACTGGCAGGTGCACACGCTTTCTGGGTCTGCATGTCACACCACACAAGCACTCTCCTTGGAAAGAGTGTGTGTGTGTGTGTAGAGTGTAGGGCAAGCCTGGTAGGCATGTACACCTGCAGCCAAGCACCTCTTACTCTAGAGTAAGAAGATCTCATCTGCAGGAGCGCATGCTTTCCGGGCCTGCTCTGTACGCTACACTACACCTACATTCTCTTTCCAAAGAGTGTGTGTGTGTGGCATGGCGTGCAGGCCTGGAAAGCATGCATGCCTGCAGCTGAGAGACTCTTACTCTTGAGCAGTGGTTCTCAACCTGTGGTCCACAGATGTTTTTGGCCTTCAACTCCCAGAAATCCCAACAACTGGTAAACTGGCTGGGATTTCTGGAAGATGTAGGCCAAAAATATCTGGGGACCCCAGGTTGAGAACCACTGCTCTAGAGTAAGATGTGCTTGTCTATAGGCATGCACGCTTTCCTGGTCTACCCTGCATGCCATGCCACACACACACACACTTTCCAAGGAAAGTGTGTGTGTGGCGTGGCATACAAGCCCAAAAAGCGCATGCACCTGATGCCAAGCATGTCTTACGCTAGAGTAAGAGGCACTTGGCTGCAGGTGCATGTGTTTTCCGAGCTTGCCCTACATTTTATGCCACACACACACTCTCCTTGGAAAGGCAAGAAGGCAAGTTCTGGGAAGTGCTTGGCTGTAGACGAAAGCAGGCTTGGAGCCAGGATCGGCTCCAGTTTGCTTTCATGTCGAGCTGATTTTTGTGAGGGGAGGGGGCTTCCCGTTTTGTGCTCCCAAAGAAATGAAAGAAACTAAAAACAAGAGAGAAACAAATTCCACACACAACTCTAATATGCAGTCGGGTGCGGGTCTCAACCAGCCCTAGACTTTGCAAAATGTCAGGCTATTTTTGATCTGAAAATCTAGAATGCTCTCTCTTCCCCTATATTTTGGGGAGTTCATTGTAACTCTTCAGTTCCCCTCTGGAGCCCCCAGTGGCGCAGTGGGTTAAACCCTTGTGCCAGCAGGACTGAAGACCGACAGGTTGCAGGTTCGGATCCAGGGAGAGGCGGATGAGCTCCCTCTATCAACTCCAGCTCCTCATGCAGGGACATGAGAGAAGCCTCCCACAAGGATGATAAAAACATCAAATCATCCAGGCATCCCCTGGGCAACGTCCTTGCAGACGGCCAATTCTCTCACACCAGAAGCGACTTGAAGTTTCTCAAGTTGCTCCTGACACGACCAAAAAAAAAAAAGTTCTCAAAAAAGTTCTACTACTAATATTGCTCTGTTATTTTAGTTGTATAATATACAAATTTTTAACCTATCCCTATTTTCACCTCTTTGGGAGTCTTTCCTTTTTCCTCTCTTCTGTTTTCCATGTCGCATTGATTCTGTGTATCACAGTTTTATGGAGAATGGTCAAGTTGGAGCTATTAATTTGGAACCATAAGATTTATCTAAAATCATTGTCTACACATGTTTACTCCAAAGTGAATGCGACTGAATCCCTGAGTAATCCTTTATTACTCAAACAATGCTGGAAACTTGGATAAGAAGTGTAAAGTATTCCTTTATCCACTTTTCTTTTGATATACTATTTCAAACCTTTGTTCAGGAACAGAGGTAGAGGGAGAAAGGATAGTGACAATTATTTATTTTTAAGTCAAAAAGCATTTTCCTAACAGTTAGGAAACCCCACGAAGAGGGATAATAGAGAAGAAAGATTTTTGCAGCTCTTCTCCTATGTTACAATTTTCCAAACTGTTGTAGCAATTATTCTATAAAGATTTTTTATACAAAAAAAAGACTTTTCCGCACAAAAATGAGTTTTCTGCACATAAAACAGTTTTCTGTGTAATAAATGTTTTATGAACAGAAATCGTGAGGTTGGGGCACAGAAATGTGTACTTCATAGAATACTAGAGAATATTGTATGATTCTTTGGTACGTTTGAATACACGACTATTGTGAAGAAATATATTTTGTTCTCTCATAGTGGGGAGAAAATGACTGATTATTCATGTTCACGTGTACAGGTGAAATAACTAAGGATTTGCATCTATATTCTGAAGGGTTTTCTGCAATTGGAGTTTAGTGCCAATTCCAAAAGATGCAGATAGCTAAAATGACACCCTCCCATGCCTGAAAATGTAAAAAACATATTTAGAAATAAGTCCTGCTGAGCTAAATGAGCAAAACATGGACTCCTGCACATATTACACTTATTTACCTGGAAGTGGGGATGCCATGGTTCAGCTCTGAAGAAAAATGTTCTGCATATGCTCCAAAGCACCTCAAACATTTCTGATTTATAATTCTTCATCCTTTAACAACTGGTCTTTGTAGCTAGTCATTTATAATTTTACTTGAAGTGGTTAAGTGTCCTCTAGCTGAAATTTCTTACTTTGGGAGAAATGATGTATCTTTTACACATGTACTTGAGATGGCAATTTTCAGTATTCCTGAGAAATGTTGGAAGTTGCATAAAGGACATATTTTGTCAGATACTGGTAAATGAAACTGTGGGCACTGGACCTGAATATACTGTATATCCCTAGGAACAATGGGGGCAACCTCTTCTACGTTTCCTGTAAATCCTTGTATCTGCATGCTTTCTATAGTGAAATTATTAATGATAATTTAACTGATTATGGAAACTTATGTGTTGGTGGTAATGAATTAATTTCCTAGGTTATAACATTTAACATGTTAAAAATAATTTTTCTGAGCTCTGCTTTCTGTTGATAAGTTTACGTTCTTGAATGTCTTTACTGGTGACATTCTGGAGCTAAGGAATCTTGTGTTTCTATGGCGAATCACTGAAAGACTTACTATGTATAGGTTGCTATCGTAAGTTGGAGGCTGGTTTTGGGATTTTTATAAGTAAGGGATCAGTCCACGATGGGAAAGCACCACTGCCTTATCTCAGGGCTGCTGCCATGTCCTCATACAAACATTAAAAGAACAAAAGGAGAACCATGGCAGAAGACAGTAAAAGTGGTTAATGTTTCTTTCTGGGATGGACTAAGCCCTTGCCTTTTGTACGTCTACTCAAAGAAGACATGTACAATACTAACACTGACCCATAAATAAGTAAACACAGAGTTTTTGGGTTGATTTTTTTACTAAAATTCTAGTTTTATATATGAGTATATACCAGGCATGGCCAAAGTTTTTTGCAAGGGGGCCGCATGCTGGGGCGGGCTGGACAAGTAGGGGGAGGCTGAGGGTTGATATGGGGGGGGCAGGGAGGGGCAATTGGTGTGCATAGGGAAGGCTGGGGGCAATTGGCATGGGAGGGGGAGGAGGTCAGGGGACGGTGGCTGCAGGGGGAGGGGGAGAGGGTTTTACACATGGCTGCGCAGGGCTCTCAGGAGAGATGCCCCCTTTTTGCAAGAGGACATGATGAAATGAGTCAAAATTCACAGTATGATGGCAAATAAATACGGATTGTTCTGGTACACTTCCTCTCTTTGTTGGCATTTGAAAAGTTTCTTCCCACTTTTGCTTAATTGCCAAATCTTTTATTTTGGGAGGCCCTTTAAGCGGTGCAGCTTTGCATCATAGGGGGATCCATGGTTTACCTGGCCATGGAAAGTTTTGGTGGGGCCCTTTCCCTTAATGCCTTAAGCTCGCACTTATTTTGCTGAATGGTGCTTTGTCTTCTGTGGGGTTGGTTTAACAAGTTCAACAAGTGTCCCTTCTTTGCATTCTTGTGTCTCCCTACACTCTCCCCTCTGGCACGCGAGGAGAGGACTCCCTCTTCCATGTGGCTTCTTTCCCTTTCTGGAGATCACCTTCCAACACCAGGTGATCAACACCAACACCTTGGCAGACCCCTCTTCCTTGCTCCCTCCTAGCAGGGAGACAGAGAGACAAGTACAGCCTCGCTCTCCACAAAGCCACACCATCACTTCACATCGCCATCGCCAGAGGCAGCTTGGTCCCCAGAACCCTGGTGAGGTCAAAGCTGTAGACGAAGAGGAGGAGGAGACATGCGCTCTCAATTTAAACCTTTTTCTGAGGAACAGGTAGGGAGTCAGGGAGCTGGCAGGTGGCTAGCCCAGAGGGAGCACCTGAAGAGAGCTCACTTGTAGCTGTGCTGAAAACTTCTGCAAAGTGGAGGGCTTGATACACAGCTGCGCAGATCTCTTGGGAGAGTTTTGCGCAGCCACATGTGACTGGTGGTGGGGGGCTCTTCTCAGCAGGAGGATACAAGGGGTCATGTGGTTTTATTTTAATAAATAATGTTTAATTGTATGGTTTTAATTATATTTGTTTATTTTTTTATGTATATGTATGAGCATGAAATCGCTGCCAACTGTAACACTGCCCTGAGTCCCCTTTTAGGGTGAGAAGGGCGGGATACAAATATGTGAAATAAATAAATAAATAAATGTCCTCCTGCCGGGAGGAGAGTGTGACATGCGGCTGGGGCTGAAGGCAAGAGCCCAAATTTTCACTTTCAAATGTAGTATATGTTACCACAAAAATGTTTTAGTATCTCTACCCCAAAAGTTTCCCCACTTACTGAAAATCCCTCATAGTTTCATCAGCCAGGTCTTGCTCTAGAGCAGTGGTTCTCAACCTGGGGTCCCCAGATGTTTTTGTACTACAACTCCCTGAAATCCCAACCACTTTATCAGCGGTTAGGATTTCTGGGAGTTGAAGGCCAAAAAAATCTGGGGACCTTAGGTTGAGAACCACTGCTGTAGAGGTAGTCAATTCCAAAAACCATTCTGCATATACATAACAATTACTATTACCTGACTTCTTTAAATAGTACTTGACAATTGATGAAATTCCCTGAGGTGTAACAAAATTCTCGGTCCCCTTTTTCATCACCATTCCTTCTACCAGGGCAGTCATTGGCTTCAGTATTCCATGGGTCAACAGATCTTCATAAAAGCTAAAAGGATGTAAACAAACTCATAAATATATAGGTTAACTGCAATAACCAGATAGGAATTTATGTCCTAAAATGGAAGACCAGTTTCCTTTCCATTCCGTGTCATCCCCCCCACCCCCCCTTGGGTCTCATCCAGAATTTGGTCTTCTTTACTGTCAGAGGCTAAGTTTGGATTTAGTATATTTACTTCGATCTATTAAGATGTGATATGGCCTACAACCATTAACAGGATTGATTTTACACATGTACAACTAGCCAAATAGGCTTTCAGATTCAATGGAAGGCAACTGTACTTTAGTTCAACAAAAAGAACTGATGCAGAACTTTACAACTTACTTTGAAGATTTGGTAAACCAATGCATGAATGGTTTCTCATGAATCTCATGAAACCAATGTGTGTATGGAAGACTAAGCAACTATCTCAGCACTATGATCTAAGATGGGATGAAGGGCATCAACCTTCCAGATGTTTTAGAATTCACATTTCAAGGCCAATGGTAAGGAGACTGTTTAAACAGTAGTCCAAAACAACAGGAGAGCTATAGGGGTTCCTCCTTCTAATGTAAGATATGATAGCACATTTATAATGCACTGTTCACAATCAGGGCTATGTATATGTACCAGATGCAAGAATGTGAGGTAAGATTTAGCTTTATGAAAAAGAAATAAAAACCCCTTCAGAGTGTACAAATAATACATGATGAAATTTTAGAAACTGCAAAGCTAGGGTGAGTGTGTGGTGAATGCTTGGCTCTACAAGGTCTTATGCGCTCCAGGGTAGGACCTCTCCCAAGTCTTCAGAGAGCTACTGCTGAGCACTGCAGATCATGCGTGGGCAACTGTGGCCTTCCAGATGTTGCTGGACTGCCTATCAGCCCTATGCAAAGGTAATAGCAAGGGATGCTGGGAGTTTCGATTCTAACAGAAGTCTATGGTTGCTCACCATGGCTGTAGTGCTTACACCAGCGCTCTCTGTTCACTTATCATTAAACTATGTAACAAAATTTGAAGAAAATTTCTGTTCCTGGTTTGAAAGTGTTATTTCCTATTTAATTGTGTGATGCTTACTTTGAAAGTACCATATTTTCCAGCGTCAGGAGGGAATGTTTCTAGAACATGGCCATATAGCCCGAAAAACCTACAACAACCTGGTGTCATGCTGTTCACTTACACACATAAATCTCAACTCTGTTCCCTTCTTATGCCTTGGAAGGGGACTAGAGAAAGTGACAATAGAATCCTTCTCTCTCTTTACCTGCTAAAGCTGTCAATGTTCCCCATATTTTCCTTCTTACTATCCTGAGTTAAAGGGATGGGGGAGAACATAGAAGCCATATTCCACTATCCAGATTAGCTGTGGTCCAGAGGCCTGAACTGCTTAGAGAGCTATACCTGCTACACTTAAAACTATTTCCATTTTTCAGATAAGACATTTTTACGCAACTCCAGGTACATAAGTGCTGTATATACTCGAGTATAAGCCTAGTTTTTCAGTACTTTTTTTTAGGCTGAAAAAGTCCCCCTCGGCTTATACTTGAGTCAAGGTTTTTTATTATTTTACTCTGTTATTATTATTATTACAATTATCATTTTACAATTCCATTATTATCATTATTACAATTATCATTTTACAATTCTTACATTTATTATTGTATTCTTTATTATTGTTATTATTACATTTATTATTTTACTCTATTATTACTGTTATTATTACATTTCCATTATTTTACTCTATTATTATTAATAGTAGTATATTTATTATTTTACTGTATTATTCTTGGAAGGATATGTAAACACATTTACACTGAAGGAGGTTAGAATAGTGCTTTAACCAGAGGACAGTCTTATCTTAACTTAGTTTTATTCAAAAACATTTAACCTACCAATTCCTCAATTAATGCAATTTTATTGGTATCTATTTTTATTTTGGAATTTACCAGTAGCTGCTGCATTTCCCAGTCTCAACTTATACTTAAGTCAATCCATTTTCCCAGGTTTTTGTAGTAAAATTAGGTGCCTCGGCTTATATTCGGGTCAACTTATACTCGAGTATATATGGTATATTCCTGATTTGAAAGTGTTATTTCCTGTTTAATTGTGAGATACTTGCTTTGAAAGCAGCTGTTATACTCCAGAAACATTTTTAAAGGTAGCTGCCATAAACTACGTTGATTTGGTTGTGACTTGATGAGATATTCATTGAAAAACTATAGCAAAATGTGCTTCAGGATGTCCCGCAAAAACAAATTTAATAAACTTTTTCCATCTTTTTAGGAGAGAACCAATTAGGAAATGATATTTATAAACCAGGAACAAAAACTGTGTAATTAGGATCATTTATACTTGTGGCTAAAGCTATAGTGAGGCACTTTGAGTTTCAGGAGGCTTCAACGCCCTTTCCTTCTCTCACACAAACACACAGAGACACATAAAAATATACACCATCCTCACCACTACTGTTTAACCAAGGATACTGTCAAACAGGGGCTTCGGTAAAAATAAATAAACAAAATGGCCAGGCACCCTCCTTCTAGCCCAGACTGTTATTGGAGGCTGGAGATGACATCATCCTCTATCTGTAATCCACCCATGTTTTCTTACCACCTCCGTTCTCCTTTCTCACCGAAAGGAGGGAAGATGGACAGAGCAGTCTGAGTTCTAAGGAAATCTCTCCAGGCAGAAAAGGTTCAGATGCTGAAATAAAAGCACATAGGACTGTCTTTTCTTTAAAAAAATATGAAATAAATAATAACTTGTGCAATCAACAACTGAAGGAGGAGGAAAGAACTGTAAGAAATAAGACTCAGTTGGACTGTAATTTGTAACATTGTATAGACAGACAGATAGATAGATAGATAGATAGATATAAAGAATGATTTACTCCAGACTATAGAATATATATATGTATAGTATGTGTGTGTGTGTGCATGGTATGATTTTGAACAGAACGTAGAATATATATATAGTATTATTTTCTTGACTATGGCATGTGTGTGTGTATATATATATATATAGAGAGAGAGAGAGAGGGGGGGAGAGTTTCTCGACTATAGAATATATATATATATATATATATATATATATATATATATATTCTCCAGACTACAGAAAAAAATATATATATATATAGTATGATTTTCTCGACTATAGTATATATAGAGAATGATTTTCTCCAGACCACAGTGTGTATGTGTGTGTGTGTATTATGATTTTCTCCAGACTATAGAATATATACATAGTATGATTTTCTCCAGATGATAGAATATATATATATATATATATATATATATATATATATATATATTCTATCATCTGGAGAAAATCTCAAAAAATATATATAGATTTTGTCCTAACTATAGAACATACATAGTATAATTTTCTCCAGACTATAGAATATATATATGTAGTATGTTTTTTTTCCGAGTCCCCAGTGGCGCAGTGGATTAAACTGTTGAGCTGCTGAACATGCCAACTGAAATGTTGGCAGTTCAAATTGAAGGAGCGGGGTGAGCTCCCGCTGTTAGGCCAACCTAGCAGTTCGAAAACATGCAAATGTGAATAGGTCAATAGGTACCACTTCGGTGGGAAGGTAAAGGTGCTCCACATAGTCATGCCAGCCACATGACCTTGGAGGCGTCTATGGAGAATGCCAACTCTTCGGCTTAGAAATGGAGATGAGCACCACCCCCCAGAGTCAGACACAACTAGACTTAATATCAAGGGGAAACCTTTATCCTTTTATAGTATGTGTGTGTGTGTGTGTATATATATATATATATAGTTTTCTTGACTATAGTATATATAGAGAGAGCAAGAGAATGATTTTCTCCAGAGTATATGTGTGTGTGTGTATATACACATACATACATACATACATAAATGATTTTCTCCAAAACTATTTATCTATGTAGTATGCTTTTCTCCTGTTTATATATATATATATACACACACACACACACACACACTATAAAAGGGTAAAGGTTTCCCCTTGACATTAACATATATACATACACAAACACATATATGATTTTGACCAGACTATAGAATATATAGTATGAGTTTCTCCAAACTATAGAATATATATATATATAGTATGATTTTCTCCAGAACTACCTATCGATATAGTATGATTTCCTTCTGACTGTTTATATACATATGTATATAGTATGATTTTCTCAACTATAGTATATATGCGCGCGCACACATATATGATTTTGACCAGACTATAGAATTAATATATATATAGTATGAGTTTCTCCAGACTATAGAATATATATATATATATAGTACGATTTTCTCCAGAACTACCTAACGATATAGTATGATTTTCTCCTGTTTATATATATATAGAGAGAATGATCATATATATATATACACACACACACACACGATTTTGTCCAGACTATAGAATATATATATATATGGTATGAGTTTCTCCAGATTATAGAATATATATATATATGTATATATATGTATATATATAGTACAATTTTCTCCAGAACTACCTATTGATATATTATGATTTTCTCCTGACTTTTTATATATAGAGAGAATAATTATATATATATATATATATATATACACACATATAATTTTGTCCAGACTATAGAATATATATATATATAGAGAGAGAGTACGATTTTCTCTGTTTATATATAGAGAGAATTATATATACACACACACACACACACACACGATTTTGTCCAGACTATAGAATATATATATATATATATATATATATATATATATATATATATATAGTATAAGTTTCTCCAGATCATAGAATAGATAGATAGATTGATAGATAGATAGATAGATAGATAGCATATGATTTTCTCCAGACTATTGCAGTGGTTCCCCACCTTTGGTCCTCCAAGTGTTTTGGACTTCAGCTCCCACAATTCCTAACAGCTGATAAGCTGGCTGGGATTTCTGGGAGTCGAAGTCCAAAACACCTGGAGGACCAATGGTTGGGAACCACTGAGAGAGTATGATTTTCCTCCAGACTATAGAATAGATGCTGTGTTTGATAACACTTTCATTGCCATGCCTCAATGGGATGCAATCCCAGGAGTTGTAGTTTGTTTGGCTTTCTCTCTTGCCAGCACAGCTGGGGAAGTACCTAGGTGGACTACAACTCCCCTGATTTGCATAGCACTGAGCCAGGATTCCAAAAAGTCAGGCGGCTGAGTCCCACCTGTGATGCTGGGCGATGATGATGTCACCTGCCCAGGCAAAATGGCAAAAGCCCAAGAGACAAGACAGAGACAGAGAGAGCTCACCTGCGGTGCTTGGGGTCTGCTCCAAGGGTGAGGTACTGGGCGCCCAGGTCGGCCGTGCATCGGGGATCCCGGTCTCGGCGGCTCGTGGCCATTCTTCCCCCTTCGCCGTCACGTGCGTGGAGACAAGAAGGTTTTTTAAAAAACGACACACTTGGCGCGGGGGCCAATCAGCGGCCTCGGTGGAGCCGGCGGCGCCTAGTAACAAGGCGAAGCGGCAGAAAGAGGAGGAGGAGGAGGAAGAGGAGGCAGCCTCGCGCAGCCCTTGGTAACAGCGCGCGCCCAAGCCCTGGGCAGAGATTTCCAGGAAGGCGGGGACGGGAAACAACATTGTCAAAAGCGGGCAGCCCAATGGAGTTGGTGCCTTGGCAGCTGGGTTAGGGACCTAACTTGCTCCAAAACACAGCCTCTTGTTGCATTCTCTCCTGACCTTTCGCCTGCATCTATGGCAGGCATCCTCAGAGGTTGTGAACTAGGCAAGTAAGGTTTATATACCTGTGGAATCAAAGGATTCTCTCCCCCTCCCAGGCAGGAAGCAGACAGGCTTTGAAGCTGCAAGGCTATTCAAAGCCAATAATGGGTTTTGCTGTCAGTTTTCCAGGCTGAATGGTCATGTCCCAGAAGCATTCTCTCCTGACGTTTCTCCCCATCTATGGCAGAGGTTGTGAGGTCTGTTGGAAACTAGGAAAATGGGGTTTATCTATCTGTGGAATGTCCAGAGTCTTGTCTGCATGAGGCAAATGTGAATGTTGCGATTGGCCACCTTGGTTAGCATTGAATGACCTTGTAGCATCAAAGCCTGGCTGGTTGCTGCCTGGTCTGACCTCTGAGGATGCCTGTCATAGAGGCTAATCACCTCTCAACAAAAGATTCGCCCAGGCAGTAAGAAACCAGACCTTGAAACTGTCAGGCCATCAAATTCTAGTCAAGGTAGCCAACTGAACCATTCACACCTAGCTCCAACAGACAAGAGTTCTTTCTCCCACCCTGGACCTTCCACAGATATATAAACCTAGTTTTCCAGTTTCCAACAGACCTCACAACCTCCGCGGATGCTTGCCATAGATACGGGTGAAACGTCAGGAGAGAATGCTTCTGGAACGTGGTCAGACAGCTCGAAAAATCCACAACAACCTAGGAAAATTTGGTTTGTATATCTGCGGAAAGTTCAGGGTGGGAGAAAGAACTCTTGTCTGTTGAAGCTATGTGTGAATTGTTCAATGGGCCACCTTGATTAGCATTTGATGGCCGGACAGTTTCAAGGTCTGGCTTCTTACTGCCTGAGTGAATCCTTTGTTGAGAGATTATTCGCCACTATGGCAGGCATCCTCGAGAGGTTTTGAGGTCAGACCAGGCACCTTTGACGCTACAAGGCTATTCAAGGCTAACTAAGATGGCCAATTGCAACATTCACACTTGCCTCAAGCAGACAAGACTGGACATTCCACAGATATATAAATCCTATTTGTCTAGTTTCCAACAGACCTCACAACCTCTGAGGATGTCTGCCATAGATGTGGGTGAAACATCAGGAGAGAATGCTTCCGGAACATAACCATACAGCCCAGAAAACTCACAGCAAAACTCAATATTGGCTCTGAATAGCCTTGCAGCTTCAAAGCCTGCCTGCTTCCTGGCTGGGAAGGGGGAAATCCTTTGATTCCACAGATACACAAACCCCACTTGCCTAGTTTACAACAGACCTCACAACTGGGTTGTTGTAGGTTTTTTTCGGGCTATATGGCCATGATCTAGAGGCATTCTCTCCTGTTATTTCGCCTGCATCTCTGGCAAGCATCCTCAGAGACCTCACAACCTCTGAGGATGCCTGAGGATACTTCTGAGGATGCCTACAGATGCAGGTGGAACGTCAGGAGAGAATGCTTCCGGAGCATGGCCATACAGCCCAGAAAACTCACAGCAAAACCCATTATTGGCATTGAAGAGCCTTGCAGCTTCAAAGCGTGGCTGCTTCCTGCCTGGGGGGGAATCCTTTGATTCCACAGATATATAAACCCCACTTGCCTAGTTTCCAACAGACCTCACAACCTCTGAGGATGTCTGCCATAGATGTGGGGAAAACGTCAGGAGAGAATGCTTCCCAAACATATAGCCCAGAAAACTCACAGCAAAACTCATTATTGCCATTGAATAGCCTTGCAGCTTCAAAGCCTGGCTGCTTCCTTCCTGTGGAGGGAATCCTTTGATTCCACAGATATATAAACCCCACTTGCCTAGTTTCCAACAGACCTCACAACCTCTGAGGATGCCTGCCATACTCGAGATTGTCAACACTGGGTGGGTCCACGCGGTCTGGATGTGGGTCTAAACCGGGAGTGTGTAGATCCAGCCCGAACCCTGCGCCACTTTGTGGAGTAACGTGGCATTTCCGAAGGCTCAGAACAGCCTGGAATGAATGACAACACTATGAAAGGGCGCCTTTCCCCGGGAGGAAGATTCCCAACTCACAATCGCAACTAACTAACTAACCAACAGGCGAGAGACTTTGTTTCCCTGCCCAGATCTCTCCCTCTGAGTCCCTGTCCTTCTGTCCAATCCGGGCCCCGGAAAAGGAAGGGAAAGGCGTAAGGCTGAGACTGACCTGCGCCCCTGGCCTTGTCCCACAGCGCGATCCGGGAAAGGCGCTCCGGGGGAAACTCCGCGCGTAAAAGCGCCGCGCAGAGGCTCCCTGTCAAGCCGGCGCCCACGATCAGGACCCGCGCCATGGCCACGGAAAGGAACACCGCACGGAGGAGGAGGAAGAGGAAGAGGAAGATCTGCTGCTTTGCCTTCCCTCCCTCCCTCTCTCCCTTCTTTCCTTCCTGGGACTTGCCAAACCGGGAGGCCCCACTCCGCCGGAGCCGTCTTTTACCTCCATCCGCCGGCAGAGGGCGCAGAAGAGCAGGATCCACACCAACATTCACGAAATGACAGAGCTCTTGTTTGTGTACTCTCAGCTCATTGCCACCCATGATAATGCAGACAAGTGGGGTTTTCTAGCTGCTTGAGAGTTGCAAATAGGTCTCCCTAATCCTATAGCAAATTGTATTGACTTGACACGAATATGGAAATGCAGCCCTTCAAAAGAAATCAAGACAAAGTGAATTAAGGCTGGGTCTGCACTGCCCTGTATCCCAGGATCTGTTCTTGATTTATTTACTTTACTTATATACCGCAATTCTCAGCTCCAGGGGCGACTCATTGTGGTGTACAACATAGAAAAAGCAGGTGCAAAATACAAGATTATCTGATCCCAGATAATCCCTTGACCTGACCAACCCTGCATAAATGCCTTCAGAAGCACTTTATTTTACCTAGTAGTACAGGGGTCCTTAAACTAAGGCCCGAGGGCGGGATATGCCCCTCCAAGGTCATTTACCCGGCCCTCGCTCAGGGTCAGGCATGTAGCCGGGGGGGGGGGCTTCAGGGGCTTCAGCCCCCCCCCCCCAAATTCTCATGGTGGTTCGCGAAAAGGCCTTACTGGTGCATTATTTAAACTGTTATGTTTATTCATATCATGATCTGATCACCTAACTCAATACTAGCCGGTATTGCACCACCTGACATCCGCCGGGAAGTAGCAGCCAATAGTGAAAGGACCAAGGCAGAGACATCTCCAGCTCATTCCCTGTTTGGGTATCAGCCAGCACGTCAACGACTTAAATCTAGAAATAGTTTTCTAAGATCTACAGAGACACTCGCTGGAACACCTCAGCAAGCGAGAGTCCAAAAGTGGCAGGCTCAAACCCAGAACCTCAATCAATGGCTGATACCAAATGAGAGACTCCCCCCTGGGCACACAGAAGACTGGGCGACTTGGAAGGCGCTGAACAGACTGCGCTCTGGCACCACGAGATGCAGAGCCAACCTTCAGAAATGGGGCTACAAAGTGGAATCCTCGACATGTGAGTGTGGAGAAGAGCAAACCACTGACCACCTGCTGCAATGCACCCTGAGCCCTGCTACATGCACAATGGAGGACCTTCTTGCAGCAACACCAGAAGCACTCCAATTGGCCAGCTACTGGTCAAAGGACATTTAATCAACTACCAAAGTCACAAATTTTGTAACTTGCTTGTTTTCTTTGTTTTCTGTTAGAAATGTAATATAATTTCACTGGTTGTTCTGATACGACAAACAAACAAACCAAACTCAATATATCTCATATGCATGGGGGTATTGGGGTCACGATACAAAAGGTTTGCTAGGGTAGACCCCCTCCCACCCAGACTCAGCCCCCCCCCCCGAAACAAACTTAGCCCCCCCCCCAAATCGAAATCCTGGCTACGGGCCTGCTCAGGGTCAACCTAAATCTGAAACGACTTGAAAGCACACAACAACAACAACAACAATCCTATCTCATCAGCCAAAAGCAGGCCCACACTTCCTACTGAAATACGAATCTATATATATATAAATGCTCTATGCATAATGAGTACCTTAAAAACAAATGAACCAATGAACGAAATCACACCAAATTTGGCAACAAAACGTCTCACGACACAAGGAGTGACCATCACTCCAAAAATTATGATTTTGTCATTTGGGAGTTGTAGTTGCTGGGATTTATAGTTCACCTACAATCAAAGAACAATCTGAACTCCACCAATGATGGAATTGAACTAAACTTGGCACACAGAACTCCCATGACCAACAGAAAATATTGGAAGGGTTTGGTGGGCATTGACCTTGAGTTTGGGAGTTGTAGTTCACCTATATCCAGAGAGCACTGTGGACTCAAACAATGATGGATCTGGACCAAACTTGGCACAAGCACTCAATATGCCAAAGTATGAACACAGATGGAGTTTGGGGGAAATAGACTTTAACATTTGGGAGTTGTAGTCACTGAGATTCACAGTTTACCTGCAATCAAAGAGCATTCTGAACCCCGCAAACGAGAGAATTGGGGCAAACTTCCTACACAGAACTCCCATGACCAACATAAATTACTTAAGGCCATTGAGTCCAACTACCTTCACCAGGGCAAGAAAACATAATCAAAATCCTCCTGACAAAGAGCCATCCAGCCATAGATATAGATAGAAATGATTCACACACAGAGAGATATACTATCATAGATTTGAAAGGGACCCCTGAAGAAGGACAATTATATGTTACATGTTCCAGAGTAGGCAAACCAGACATTCTTCACTTCAACACTAACAAAGAAACAGCAAGAAGTACTGTTTATTCACAAGCATCAAGACATTACATATATTAGAAACCAACACTTTCTCATTACTTTATTTTTCAGATCACCAGACTGGGCCACAGCAATGCGTGGCAGGGGATGGCTAGTAAGTTTATATTTGTTAAAATTGTTCTTCATTTTAATTATTGCATTGTTTTTAAGTGTTTTTTTTTTTGCACCGGAATGAATGACAACACTCTGGAAGAGCACCTTTTCCCAGAAGAAAGATTCCCAACTCACAGTCGCAAAATGTTTTTGTTTCCAAGCATTTTGGCCCTCTGTTTAAAAAGTTTGAGGACCCCTGTGTTAGTACAATTAAACCCTACTTCGTCCCTCAGATCCCTTGTCCACATATTTATTTATTTTATTTCATGCATTTCTATCCCGCCCTTTCCCCCCTTGAAGGGGGACTCAGGGCGACCTCACATAAGCATCATGTGATGCTGTCAGCATATAACAACAAAGATTACAATTAAAATAGTAAACATCATTAAAAACATTATACAAATTCATTCACAGATCATTAAACAATAAACATACCAATTAAAACCAAGACCAAATCGGGTAAATCCAATGTCGCTGATGTCCTAAATTTCCTTTCCACTTGCCGCTGTCCACTAGTTGAATGCCTGGTCTCAAAGCCAAGTCTTCACTTGTCTTCTAAAGGACAGGAGAGAGGTGGCCAACCTGATGTCCTTAGGGAGGGAGTTCCACAGATGGGGGCCACTGCCGAGAAGGGCCTGTTCTCATCCCCCCAACGGCGTTTGCAAGAATGGTGGGATCGCAGGCCTGTGGCCAGGATTTTGGTGGGGGGGGGGGCTGAGTTAGATTTGGGGGGGAGCTGAGTTTCATGGGGGGGGGGCTGAGGATCTACCCTAGCAAACCTTTTGTATCATTATCCCAATACCCCCATGTATATGGGGATATATTGAGCATGTTGATGAGATTATGACATGAATAAACATAACAGTTTAAATAATGTACCAGTAAGGCCTTTTTGCAGGCCACCCTGAGAATTTTTGGGGGGGGGGCGAAACCCCTCAAGCCCCCCCCCCCGGCTACATACCTGTGGGATCGAGAGCAGGGCCCTCTCTTATGACCTTAAACACCACTGAGTTTTGTTGGGGGTGTTTGGATAAGCACCCATGGTCGGTGCCATCGAGCCTGTACCAGGCCTCAATATTCTTTGAAGTTGGTAAGATGGATGATGATGTTTGCCATGAAGCCTTCAGGACCTTGAGGATGTATGGAATTTCCTTATGCAAAGTTATCCGTGGAGTCTGGTTTTGGACACTGCAGAACAGTGGGTCATTCACTGCATCAGAGGATTACTTCACTTCGAGTCTGAGGGCAGCCGCCATCCATGAAGCCTATGGGAAGGGTCAACCACATGTAAAATTTCCTGGGCCAGCCAATTGATCTGGTGCCCCTTCTGAAGAGTGCCCTCAGGAAAGGCACTCCTGCTGAGTCTGGAACAGCTGGTGACAACACAACATGGATGGCACCTCTGCTGTGGGTAGTTGGGCCCTAGCTACTGTATCTACTGAGTGGTGAGAGAAGTCAGGGACTTCAACTTCCAAGTTCTGAGGGTAAAAGTGGTAAAGAGCATGGCTGTGCCACCAGTGATTTCTCGGTTCTGGAAGCTCGAGAGGAAGCAACCGTTGGTGAAGGATAAGACTTGTCATCAGATGGCACAGGAGAAGTATCCTTCTTTCTCCATTTCACTTCTTTTTCCCCCCTAAGTTTCACCCTATATTACATTATACATTATATTGTTCTCTCACCCAGCTCCTGCCAACCTAGCAGATCGAAAACAGCAATCATGAGTAGCTAAATAGGTACCACTTATAACAAGTGGGGAGGTATTTAGGCAGCCATAAGGAAATGCCAGAAAATGCCAACAATTTGATCAAAAGGAGGAAGTTTACGAAGAAAAACTCTTTGGCAGGGAAGATGGAAGATTAGTTCCATCTGCAGTGACTGGTAGGGCTGGGCAACCACGGAAAAATTTGTTTCTAAACTCAATTCGTTTTTAGGTGGCCCTTGCGTTTCGTTTTTTTTAATAATTCCGAAATTTTCCTTTTAAAAATTTCAAAATTTACGAAATTTCGTAAATTTCGTAATTAATTCATTAATGGCGGACGCGATTGCGCAATATGCTAAAAAAACCTCCAAATGGGACAGGGGAAACTTCTGAAGCTTCCCTCTCCCTCTGTTGTTGACTGTAGGGTGATAAAACAAACAACAACTATAAAACTTGCAGCAGACATGTGAAAATAATTACAAAATAATTACGAAATAATTTCGAAACAATTTCGAAACAATAACGAAACAATAACGAAATAAATTGAAAAAATTGTTTCGAATCTAAAAAACTCCTCACACTATTCCAGAATGGTTCAATATCGGATCATAAGCTAATTTAAATACGAATTAATAACGAATTACAAAATTAACGAACGAAACCGCCCAGCCCTAGTGACTGGAACCAAGCACAGCCTCCAGGATGCCGAAGATGGGGGGAAAGCCTATATATGTCTTGTCTTTGTATAACATCATTGAATGTTTGTTGTATATGTGTTCTATGATC